TTCTCTCCCTTGTCCCTGAGGGGAGTTTCCTGGAGGTCCTGTTTGCTAGCTTCTTGAACAGCAGGAAGTTTGCTTTCCAAAAGTTCAGGGTCCTGAGCTTACTCCTTCCAGGACCTGTATCCCTCAGGACTGTGAACTCCACTGGGCATGGTCACTGAAGCCCAGGCTGCCTCCAATCTTGGTGGCACTGAGAGCCCCAGGAAGGCGTGGATGCACCTGGATGCACCTGGATGCACCCATTTTCACTTACTATAGATTAGAATGGTAGCTACATTAGAATGTGCTAGTGTGCCGTGTGGGAATTGGTAGGTCCTCAGGCTCCTTTTACAGATGCTGTCTGCTGCCTAAAGCAGTGATACAACAGCTGCTGATTGCTGCTCTGTGCTTCTGCAGTTCATTAGACCGCTGACTTCCCTCATATTTATTTTTTATTTTCCCCCTTTTTGCGTTAATCTTTTAGTTGACCTGTCTCAGTCTTCTTCATACTGCAGGTGTTATTGGAGTGGTGGCATGTCTTGGGCATGCTAGGTGGGCTGGGGCAGCAAGTTTCCCTCTTGAGGGAGAAGCTGATTGCTTGTCCTGTGAGCAGGAGCTCATTGAAGAATGAATCTGCCCTTGTAATATTACAAAAATTCAGAAGGGGGCCTCAGAGGGATTGCTGGTGTTTGAAAGTTTGTAAATTCCCTTCTGAGCGCACAGGGCTGTCCTATTACACTATGCTGCAAGAGACAGGAGTGCTTAACCTTTGTAGAGGTAAGTAATGAGAAATAAGGGAAGGAGCAGTCAATGACATGCTTAGTAAATCCTGGAGCTCTTGAGGTAACTTTACAACATCAGATAACCATCCCAAGAGATCTGTTTCTCCTTAAATAAAATTGCTTGGTCGTTGTAGTCAGAAGTTTAGGGTTTAATTTAAATGAGCTTTCTAGAAATTTAAGGCTAAAGGTGCTTTGAAAAAAAAAATTAAAAAGAAAGGTTGGTTTTTCTTTTTTTTTTGGCAGCTGTAAGATCAAGCAAACAACATTTCTGTCTGTAGTGCAGAAACAGGAGTGTCCCTGCAAATGTAAGAAGCAAACCTGTACTGCAGCATGTATGAACAGCGTGGATGAAATTTTGCATTTACTGATGCTGCAGCATGTGCTTGGACTGTATCAACATTTAAGCAAGGGGGAGGTAGACGAGTGCTTGAAAGAAGTGTAAGAGTACCTTGCAATGACCAGGCCCTCAAGAAGCTTTGGCTTGATTTGTCAGCCCAGGTTGCCTGCAGTATCTTGTCTTCCTTCCAGCCTGTGGGCTTCTTGCTTATTCTTTCTTATCAGACTTGGTTCTTAAGATTCTCCTTTTCTGTGCAATTTCTGAGAGCTGAAAGCCAGCTGACCTATTTCTGTGCAGGTCTTCACTTTACTTTTCCCCTCCTCATGTGAGATTCCTCTACAGGACTATTGAACCTCTGTTGGAATTACAGTCTTGTAACATAGTGCAGGGCAGTAGCAATGACTGCTAACCTCCAATCTTTGACCTCCTTCCAGGGCTTGATAGCATTGCATAAAGGAGAGAGGTTGCAGCTTTATTGTTTCATAGTGCAGTGTCATGCTTGCTCAGATCTTTGCAGTACGTAATATCTGCCAAAAGTAGTGTGGGAGTGGTTTGCCATTACCATGTATTTTTGCCACAGGAAAAAACGTAATTTCTGGGGAAGTGTTGTAATAGCTAAGCCAGAGGGGAGGAGCAGGTAATTTTTTCTAAGACTTTCAGGCATTTGTTTTTGTCCCAAAATCAGGGTTCTTCACGCAATGTGCAGAGGGCCAGTTAACACACAGAGTAACGTTTATTTCATGTCTGTGCAGAGGTGGGTGCTAGGTAGTAATTCCACGAAGCCATCACACGCTCAGCCTGCCAGCTATCCACTTTCACACATTTCAAACACTGTAAGACAGTGTTTTCCATATATGTAACAGTCTGTATCTACAGTCATTTGCTCTTGCATGCTCTTGTCTCTGCTTAAAGATACGGTATATATTTGTCACACTATGCATGTTCCATGAGTAAGGGTGTCAGTGGGCAAGGGTCTCAGGGGGTGTGATTTTTAGTATTATAATGAAGCAAGTTCCTTTAGGAAGAGAGTTATCTTCTCTTTTTCTAGGCTTTTCAAAATTCCTTCTGCCTTCCTAATCTTTCTGACCATCAACTGTTACTTTTCTTCTGATCCAGATGGTTCATTAATTAGTCTTCTACCTCAGAGTGTGTGAGCTTTTAAGGAAACATTGTTATTCCTTGCTACATGAAAATCTAAACTGAAGAATTTCAACCTTTCACACACATAGTCCTTTACAAAATCTTAACTTCTTCATTGCCAGATAGCATCATGATTTGAGGCCATATTCAGTCCCAGGTAATGGGTAATCCTGTAATGGATGGAGAAACCCAAAGTAGTCTGGGTGATGACTTTCTTGGCATTCTCTACTGCCAAGAAATCCTTTTCAGTTTGTTTTTTTTTTTAAGTATTTAGAGAGTCCTTTGTGCTGATGCCGGACAGGTTGCTTTGAAATGCTGCAGGAGACTGTCAAAATTGGTTCTGGAGGACGAGAGTAGATGAGATGATGATTTCGCAAACAATTTTGCTGTTGTGGTGATTGTTGTTTTTTTTTCCTAGCGCTGATCTACAAGTTAATAATGTCTGAGAGGTACATTTTAGTCGTCTTTGATCATACCCTTTTCTTCCAGTGCAGCTGGGAGCATAGCTGTTCCTGCTTCAGGATGGAGGTAAAAGGAAACAAGTACCACAGCCATATCTTCAAATTAATTGTGACTGTCAGCAGGATGAACTGTTAAGCTAACCCCAAATTTGAATTAAACTTATTTTTAACTGACAACTTCTGAGACTATTTTGTCCTCAAGGTTAGATTTGGTCAAACCCAGGCTAGGACACCATGCCACACAAGTTACAAATGTTAGTTGGGGTTAGTTACAGAAAGTGAACTTTGCTATTTTGACTCACGCTTCTTTGAGAGCTTTGATACTCTTCTGCTTCAATGTGAAGATTCCAAGATTTCAGGTATCACTACCAGTTTGTCAGCTTCCAGTCAGATTCCCTCAATTTTTCAGACTTCTCTGCCCTCTCTTTTATACCTGACCTTCCTTTCCAGTTGCTAGTATCTACTATGGGATCCCAGTTTTCACCTTTATTCTTGGATAACTTGGTGCCCTAGTCCAAAGGACAAGGAGAGTTTGACGAGCATCAGAATAAATGCTGCCTTGGACTTCAATTTCAGTAAAACCTTTAAGGGTTCTTTTATAAGAATACCAGGCAGAAGTGCACCACCTTGGTTTTTTTTGTATTTTTTTGTTTTTGTGGTTTTGTTTGTTGGGTCTGTTGTTTTTTTGTTTTGGGTTTTTTGTTGTGGTTTTTTTTTTTTTGTGTGGGGGGGGTGTTTTTGTTTTTTTCTGGGAATTGCTAGACGTGAATTATTTTTTAAATAATATTTTTATCACGTTATTGGACTGTCCTTAAGTTTTTACTGCCTTTTTGCTGTAATGATTCTAATAGTCTATGAAACACTTTATACTGAAAATGTATCACTCAAACCCACTGATAACAAAGTAGCTTTTCAGGGCAGTGGTTACTGCCCTTGGAGCTGGGATGATGGCTGTCCAGTAATGCTTCTACTGGACCCCACAAATTTTGCATTACTGCTGTTTATGCTTCAGAGTTCCTTAATATGCTTAAGCAACATAGTTCTTACCAGTTCTTATGATTTTATGTCTAAACATGCTAAATAATTCTTTGTTTGTTAACCTGGAAATTAGTTTGTGAATCCATTCATCAAGCGTGTGGCTGTGTTCTGTTTGGGGCTTTTTGTTTTACAGCCTGAATAAAATATCCCTAGTCTTGAAGCAGGGTGAGAAGAGGTCAGCAGAAAATTTGTCCTGTTCCCAAAGTTAGGCCTAAATGTAATAAAAAATGTTCAGTGAAGTTAATATTTCCATATTGTTTGTAGGAGGGGTCACTGCTCTGCTGAAAAACCTGTGTATCACAAAAAGGATAAATTTTTCATAGGGGTACAAATGGCACATCGGCCCATGGCTGCCAGCCTAGCCAGCATCCCTTGTTCCTTCTCCCCATTCCCTTGTTGTTCCTGTCTGGAGCACTTTGGGCCTCTGTGTCTGAACGCAGGACACAATGCTAAGTGCTTGTGGGTATAAGCTGGAGAGAGGGATTGCGTTTGTGTTACTCTGAACTCCTTTTGCTCCTGTAAGCCCCTTTCCTGAGTTTACTTTGTTGTTGCTTCAGTGTTGCAGCATCTTTTGTTACTGATAAGTACAGATAAGTACCGTTGACACCAAAGTAAATGAACCGTGGAGAGAAGTGGGAAGTTCCGGGGGAGTGCCACCTGGTTCTTTTAATGTTTGCAGGTCAGATGGCAATTGCTGCAGATAAGTTTTCTGTGGCACTGATTCTTGTAATTGTATGTGGGACATGAGGAATGCTGATTTTGCTTGCTGACATAATTAATGACAGATGCTTAGACAATAAGCTTGATGACATTTCTTTCACTTTGTGAAAGACCTACATCTCCCGATATGGGTAGTTCCCTCAAAGCAGGAAACCCTTCACCTCTGCTGTGTTTGTTTCTCGCTAGGAAACTGTTGTAGGTATATAGTTAAAAAATTGTACCTGAGTAACACTGGCTCATCACAGAAAACGGAGAGCTTGCCCTGTTCTCCCTGGTCCTTTCCTGTGAGTCTTTAAAGAGTTTTTCTTATTTTTATTAGGTCTCTGTTCCTAATCAGTAATTTTGTCTTCAGGTTTTTTTGTAGTTAAGCGATGCTAAGTGTGGGTCTCTTTACACTTCTCACCCTTCACATTCTACTTGAATACTTTCACAAGAAAAATGGGAGCTGAAGACGGCCCCTGAGCAAAGTTTTCTCTCCTGACACATGCCCGATTGCAACACAATTGAGGCAAAATGCCAGAGCTTTCTACTGTTGCTTAAGGAGGCTCTGCAATGCACAGAGATCCCAGCATACAGAAGGCATAGCCACACGAGCTCTGATCCTTTGGTGCGTGCCCTGGGAATAGTAAAGATGTCAGAGCATACACGAGTGGTGTACGTATGGATCATTTCGCTGTGCTAAATGATGGATTGAATGACTCATTTTATATTCATTTTTAATAAAATATTTTTTCCTCGGTGGCAGAAGATTCTTTAGAATTTTAGGGCTTGGCTGATAAAATGTGATTTGAAGAAGCTTCTGCTCCAGAGAATAGCCTTGGTCTACAGACTGCAGTATTTTGTGGTTTCTAGGACTGTGGGTTTTGTATATTTAGCTTGGCATATTGCAGAGCATTCCAGCAACTGTCTGGACACTGAATTTGAGCAGTCTATAAGGATGATCTCAGATCTTAGTAGGAGAAAGATGAATCCTGCTGGGTGTGTCCTGTGCCAGGTTTACAAAGGTTTACACTTGCTCCTGGGGAAATGGAAGGAGGACAGTGCCTGCTCAGTTGATAAAAGCAGATGTTCTCTTTTTGGAGGTGTGACTGCAAGAGTCCAGCTGCCAATTGACTGTTGGTCAGAAAGTTACTGACTGGCCTTGTCAGCAGAAGACAGTTTTCCACCTGTCTGCTCTAAATGTTAGTAATAGGTGAAATTGTGTGTTGAAACAATAATACAAAGAGAAAAGATGATTATATTTGAAAATCTGTTAATCAGTAGAGGGTTTCTTTTGTATTAAGAACAAGTTGAAATTCTGCTATTGTGTATCTTAGTTACTTTATAACTAAATATTACAATGGTAGCTATAATGATAAGCAATTAACATAGCCATATATGGGGAAGGGTATATGGGTGGATCGAGGGGAGTATTGTGAAACTCTACCAAAGCAGAACTCACGAAGGTACCAGGAGTAGTCAAGTGAAAATAAGAGAATGCTGGCATCCACATAATGGTTGGGACATGTCCAAGAAACAGAAAAGTGAAGAGGATGACCTGAGGAAGACTTCTTACTTCATCCGAGGAAGACTCCTTACTTCATCAGGACGACCACCAGAGGGGGGCTGCACAAGCGCAGAAGAGGCTGATGTCATAATAGACTGATGTGGCAATCCTTGATGCATATGTATTAGTCAGTGATGTAATCTGTATTGAATATGTATTAGTGATGACATTTTTAGTGTATAAATTGCGAGCGCAATGTAACAGGGTTGAATCCAGATTTGGGCGCGTGCCCCTGGTTTCCCAGCGCTGCAATAAAGCACTTCATATAACCATTCCGGTGGTTATGTGTCAGTTCTTACGCTAACATAAGTATAAACTTCTCTTTCTTTGCCCGTGTTGATGTGCTTGCTTCTAGAAGGAAAAAGGGATTGTGATGGTAAAACAAATGCAAGTCGTTAGTTTGTTTCCATCGTGTATGGAAAATGCTGGTGACTGTTTCTCCCAGTTCCAAGCCCTAAGCTTGGCAACTGGAGAAGCATTTCAATGCATGGGGCATCATGGAAAGAAGTCTTACCTTTGCATTTCTCACTTGCACTTTGATTCAAGCTTGTAAAAGTTTAGATTCAGTACTCATCCCATTTGAGTGGGGAAAAAGTAAGTTTAAGTGTTTTATTTTTCTTCCTTACAGGATTTTTTTTTTTTTTCCTCCTTAAACTAGATTTTTCCTCTTCAATTTTGTTAGAGTGGGAGGTGTACATCTTGCTGGGGCTGACTTCCCGCACCAGGGCTTGCTGCCAGCAGGCAGGGAGGTTGGGCAGGTCACAGGAAACTCTGGGTTAGTTGGGCGATGAGGGGGCTTTTCTGATTTTCTCTTGATCCAGTAAAACTTCCACAGGATGGAAGCAGAGGCTGTCTTGTGTAATGGTATGTTATCAAGATACTGCTTGGATTCATAAAGTCTAAACGACCCTTCTGAGCAGACTAGCATCTTTGGAGGTTTCTGACAAGCACTCTTTGGCTGTGGTGTTTGTCGCACAGGATGGTTACTGCCAAGGTATGGGTTCTGAAGAAGCATTTTGAGGGTTTCCCCCAAACCAGCGACTTCGACCTGAAAAAGATAGAGCTGCCAAACTTAAAGGATGGAGGTAAGTGGATGCTGTCTGGTTTTACTTATTCTGGAGGTTGTCTGATTGCTGAGGAATGGCTTTGCATCTGCACAACTGTTTGTTTCTCTGGCTTAGATTTTCAAAAATGGGTTGTCATGCTTTTTGGCAAGCCCTGTACCTCAGCAGAGAAGGGCAGTTGCTCAAGAACATGTATGCTGCTGTGTTTGGTGACTTTTAAAACACACTGCCTTGTGATAACATTCTTACATCAATGCCTGAGCTCTTCCAACTCCATCATGTTGCAGCTGCAGTGTGCTCTTCGCAGTCTCACACTGCCTAATCACATGTAGTGCCCGATGGCAAAAGCATTTTAATGTGTTTGCAAATAAGGCTTACTGGAGAAAATTACTGAAGTGATAATTGCTGAAGCAATATGCCCTCAAAACCAACAGCCACAAGGAAACAGTATTTGTTTAATTTAGAAAGAGGGAAGTGAACTGTGACACAGAGCAAATGAAGAGCTAACTGTAGTAAAACCTAAACATGCTTTTACTGGTGAAAGATTTTAATCTATTTTGCAAAATCCTTTAGAGAATGTTGAAGAAGATAGCCTCCAGATGCAGGCTTTCATTGGAGTTTTTCATGCTGATAGGGAAGGAATTGAGGATAGTGCTGGGGCACAGCAGAGTGACTGGGGTGAGAATGAATCTGTGGCTGGAAGGCCTTGGGGCTGGAGTCAGTTCGGGCTGATCTTTCATTTTAAGAAGCAAAAAGGCAAGACTTCTGTCTGCATTTAACACCTATTTTATTGCTAGTGTTTATCTGTTACATTTGACCTGTTGTGACAGCAAGAGAAAGTGAATAAAGAGGAAAAAAATGCACAGGTTTTATCCTGTGTTTCTCTCTTTTGAAAAGAGTAGGGAATATCATAGCATTTTATGCAAGAGCTTTTGGTTAAAGAATAAACCTAGATTTTGTCTTCACATGGACACAAGTGATTTGGCTTCACATGGACACATACGATGCTGTCTTGACCCTTACCCACCATTTGTCCTTTACAAAATTTACCCCGGTTCATAAGGTGCACCAAAGAATTAGTTACGTTTACAGCTTAAAGGTTTGAAAGGTGATTTCTTCTTACATATGCTTTCAAGTCTTTTCATAGCATGTGTACTTCTAAATTTTGTGCCTGTGGGTATTTAAGAACATGGAATAGTATCTTCCTTCCCATTTTAATCCCTACAGCAAGAAGAGCATAACTTTATACTAGAGTAACACTTCTAAGGGAGATGGGCCTTTCTTGTTATGCTACATGGCCTTGACTGTTCTTCAATCTCACACTGAGAAATGGGGAAATATTTATATCTGACTATGTTTCTAGCTTGTACTAGCTGGACTACTTCAGCACAGGCAATGGAAAGTAGTATTGGGTGGAGAGGAATAGCTAAAACTGCTGTGTGAATGAGCATGTAAAATTTAACAGTATAATTTCCAAAAACTAGAGACATTAGTGTGCAGTAGGCAATCTAGCAGAGGCTTTCCATTAAGGCGGCAAAGCAGTGTTTATATTCGACCTGTGCCAGGGTTTCTTACTGCCCTCTTCTGGTTGAATCATGGGAAGGCATTTTGTATATGGGTCGAAAGTAAGCTGGTGCCTTCCTTAGGGGGTCTAGCCTCTTGAGCCATCTATAGAGTAAGGAGGCAGATAAACAGGGTTGAAAAGAAGATAGCCTCCTGAAGAGATATTATATAAAGTGGTTTTTGTAACAGCACAGTGATAATCCAGAGAAAGCTAATGAATGTAGTGGTTGTTTCTGGTAGCTTTTTCCCTAAAGGATGGCAGGGTATGTGTGTTTTGGGGTGTCAGGAATTCCTGTCACTTTGTTGGAAGACTGACTTGTGGAAACCATGCTTTATTGTACTGCTGTTGCCCAGGAATTTGCTTTGTCTTTTGTTACAGAGTTGCTGCTTGAATCAGTGTTTCTCAGTGTTGATCCTTACATGAGGTATGTCTTTCTTATTTTTAAATTGCTGCCTAAGGTTACCTCATTTATCTCCCACTTAAACATCAAAAGAAATTGTACCAGGAGTAGCCTCTGTTGTCAGAGCCCCAGATGTCATCTGTGTTTTTTTTATAAAAAGTGTGTAAATTACAAGACTCCCAATGTAGAGCTGTGCCAGATTTAGCGAGACATTACAATAACAATGCTGCAGCCCTAGACTTTTCTTGGATTCTGCTGTTCCTTGTCTTGTCTCTTCTACTGGAATGCAAAAGGGTCAGATGAGACTGCAGCTGTTTTGCAGTAGGTGCTTCATTTACCTTAGCAACCTTGTACTTCAGGATACATGTTCTAAGTAGAAAATTGCTGATATGCCCACATTACTAGGTGATAGTTCAAGCACAGGGAGATTGGGTAGTTTGGAGAAGCCTGGTAGACCCTAGTATCAGAGATAGTTCTTTGCAGTCCCAACCTTCTTGTAGTGATGGACCACGCTATTTTATCACCAATGCTCTAGCCCAGTATTTGGTCAAGATGGAATGCTAAGTAGCTGGCTATGGAGAACATCCATTTATGTCTTTACAATGGCAAAGTCTTTGCGATCATCAGCTTACTATTTATGATCTCTTTCTGAATCAGACAGTGCTACTACTATATGTGGAACATCATTAAAAGTTGTTTACAGTAAGTCATCTCTGCCTGTGTTACAGACCTTACAGTCGAAGGGTCATGAAGGAAGGGGACATAATGATAGGCACACAGGTTGCCAGGTAAGATCTTCAGTTCTTGCTATCCTTACATATGGCAGATCTCGAAGGAATATAATGACATCTGAGACATCTGCAGTCTTCATTACCTATTCTTGACTTGAGTGTACGTATTTCTGCAACTGTATTCTTGTCTGTAATTGGTTGGAATGTGTTTTTCCTCTGAGAGCCTCTTTTACCTTCTTGGAGATCATTTAGATCTCTGACACAATCTATATGTTATTTCTGGTGATAAAGTTTTCAAAGGATTTTTTTTTCAAGCAGAGGTATGAAGGACTGACCGCTGTACTTGCTGTAAGTGTCAACTTCACATTTTAAAATCTGATGTGCTAGTAAAATTGCATTCCCAAAACCATGCATGCTATCTGCTCCAGCTGAGAAAGTTCAGTGTTGCCTAAGACACAGCTGTAGCCAAAGGGTTATCTAATTGCATTTTTATTTTTTTTTTATTTAAAGGTTAAATCCATCCTTTCCCAAGCTTGTGGTAATTCAGCTACACAGATGTTCCTTTTGTCAGTCTTCCTGCTGTGCTGCCTATAAGTTGCTGCTCAGTAAAATCTGTGGCCTTTGACTCTTGGTTTCTCTGCAGGAACACTGATGGCTGGGATAAATTAACCAAGTCTGCTGAACAGAAGGCCAACTGTTCCCATTATTTCTTACCTACCCTTTCACAATGTAGTTTTCTTGTTGGGCTAAGAAAGTTGAATTTTTATTTGGCATAGAGACACCACAAGTATGAATTTCTCCCTGTTATTAGATACTGCTTTCTGTCTGGTTTTGTTACTCCGAGAGGTTCCATCTTCAGGATCTTCAACATTTAAATGAGGTGCAGATTGTCTGAGAAGGGGACTGCTTATTACAGCCTATCTGTAACGTCTTGCTTTTCCACTGTTTAATCCTAGCATCCTCTTTTCTGTCTTCTAGCTCACATTAGCCTAGCCTGAATTCATACTGGACTGGTGTTAAAAAAGTTACATCCATGTGGGAACATTCAATTAATTATGGGCAAGGCTGAGGCTAAAATCATCTTGCCTGGTATCTGTCTGGTGGTGAAGGGTACTAGCTAAATGTCCTGATATGAAATATTTCTTTTCTGCTGCATGACAGGTCAATAGGAATAAAGGAGGGAAGAGCCAGTAATGATTTGTCCCTGACAGGGTATTCTTTTTTTCATTTTTTTCTTTTTTCTTCTAAACAGGATTGTAGAAAGCAAGAATCCTGCTTTCACAGTGGGGGTCTTTGTTGTGGCTAAAAGTGGCTGGAGAACCCATTTCATCTCTGATGGGAAAGACCTACAAGCCCTTCCTTCTGGTTGGCCAGAATCGCTCCCCGTATCTCTAGCTCTTGGGACGATTGGCATGCCAGGGTGAGTTTTGACATGCAAAGGCAACTATCCCCTGGAATTTGCTGGGCAGAATGTTTCTGCCTGCCTGTATGTCCTTTGTCTTGTTTTACCAGCATGTTGTCCACTCACTCTGGTAAAAAATGTGTGCTTTGGGATGCCCTTTCCCTGAGAGGGCCTGAAATTTGGCCTGTCCCCTAGGTTGGAGGAGATTTGCCTTGCAGATTATGGTGCCTTTCCTTAAGGAGTTGCAATAAGGTAGAAGGAGGATCCAGGAGAGGCTGGAAAGAATCTGTTTCAGTCTGTAGTGTGCTTTTTAGTAAAGCTTCATCTAAACTTTAGTAGTTCCTACAGATTACTATTGACTGAGGAATGATAGCTGTGCACAGCAGTCATCAGGAGCAGTGTGCCCATCAGTTCAGCCAAGTTTTGCCACCATTTTTTGATGTGATATATGATGGGTATCATTTAATCATTGCCTCAGTCTGGTAGATACCAGCAGGCTACTGTCCTGTGTCTAGCTTGGATTTACTCTTTCTTACAGTGGGTAATTGAGTTGTCACCTTACAGCATTCTCTTTGTGTTTCTCCTTTTGGCTAGTAAGGAAAGCTATTTTCATCTAAGGTAGAGTTCTGACACAGCATCCTGTTTCCCTGTAGTGTATCTGGGTTTGGTTTTTCTTCCTGGGATGGCCATAAAAAGACAAATTAAGAAGGTTGGGTTAATTTTTGCATTTCATAAAGAATGAGGAAAACAAAATCTTATTCTGTTTGTGATGATATTTTGGTCCACTGTGGCCAAGTCACATCTCTTCTGTCTGGCATCTTTTATTTCTTACTGAACATTCTTTCTTTTCCTTCATAGCCTCACTGCATACTTTGGTCTGCTGGAGGTCTGCAAGATGAAGCCAGGGGAGACAGTGCTGGTTAATGCTGCAGCTGGTGCTGTGGGCTCTGTGGTGGGTCAGCTTGCTAAGATTGGGGTGAGTTGCTTGGAAAGCTCACCTGGTAGACAGGGGAAGAATGAATGATCAGGAGGGAAATCATCCCTGAAAGCATGCCTGCAGTAAGGTATTGAGATGGGACAAGCCTCTGAATACGTATCAAAGCTAGTTGAATGTTTTCTAGAGCTTAGGAACTTGTATGGTGATGATAGGCTTACCTTTAGGGTGAGCCCTCTGCCCAGTACTCTGTGTCAGCCTGTCTTGTGAGCAGACGTTTAGAAATGCTTCTCTCCTTTCCTTGCAGGGTTGCAAAGTTGTTGGCTGTGCTGGCTCAGATGACAAGGTTGCCTATCTGAAAAAAATAGGCTTTGATGAAGCCTTTAATTACAAGACTGTTACATCTCTGGATGAAGCACTATGTAAAGCCTCTCCTGATGGCTATGACTGTTTCTTTGACAACGTGAGTTCAGAGAGAGGGCCTTGCCCTGAGCAGACTGTCATTTGACTTAAACTATAGCAGGAATTCAATGTTCTATACATCTAATTGAAGACTGTAACAGAAACATGGTACTGAATTCCATCTAATTGAGAAATGGTCTCCGTAAGAGCTTACTCCTCTTACGGGGTGACCGGTAGAGGGTTTCTGACCTCTCCCAAGTAAAGCTAGAGTTAACATGGACTGTGGACTGTTTGAGTTAGCTGTTTGAATGTGACCATCTTGTTTGGGAAGCTAAGAGAGTTTCACAGTGAGGATGCAGTCAAACCATGTCAGTTTGCCTTCAAGCCAGAGAACAAGCCCTGGCTTTTCTGATTTCTTAGCATAGCTAACATGTGCATTATAACTGGTAATACAATACCTGGCACAGGAGTATTAGCTGAGATACTGACCTAAAACTGCCTGCCTAGCTACCTGATTTAAAAGGGCAGGCATCATTGTTCCTTGTCTGTCTCTCAGCACTTTGTCTGCTGATGCAGGGATGAGGTCCTTGTGATTCTGTGTGGATTGCAAAGCACCCACATTGGCAGTTGTGAATGCATGGTGTCAGGACAAAGTGCTTGCCCATGTGGGAGGAGCTCCTGGTTGCTTTGCCTTACTTACCCTTCCAAATTTCATGTCTTGTGCTGCTAAGGTCTTAAATCAGTTTTATGATCATGTCTGCTTCCTTCTCTCTCACTTCCAACTTTCGTGCAGAGCTATCCCCAGCAGTAAATGTTCTCACAGTTTTTCTCCATTAAAAGCTTCTGAGCACAGCACAAGAGAATCATGAGGTAAAAACTTTATGTCACCATGATGTAAAGAGATAAAAGTGCAGAATGGTGTGGATGAAAAGCAGAGGTGGTCCTTTCTAATAACCCTAGATGTGCCCCTCAGGAGAAAGGATCCTGCCAATTTTGTGAAGCAAACTCAGAACTAAAACAAATTCCCTGTGTTCATAACTAATTTTTACAAGAGTGGGATTGCATCTATAGGTGCTGACTAACTGTAAGAATTTCTGCAGCTGCTGAGCTTTTGAAGTAGTGGAACTTCCATCTCCACCACTTGACTGAACCTGTTGGTGCAACAATGCAAGATTGGCAATCAGTGCCTAACATTGGATTGTCTCTAATGCTGTACACACTTTGGATCCTGTAGGTGGGTGGAGAATTTGCCAGTGTTGCTATCAACCAGATGAAGAAATACGGAAGGATTGCAGTCTGCGGAGCCATCTCTCAGTACAATGACTCTGTGCCTCAGAAGGGTGTGGGCCTGCTTTCTCATGTTTAAATCTATTTCGTTTGGTGATGGTAGAGAGAAAGTTGTAATGGGAGTCTCTTAAGGTTTTATTGGTTGTTTCTGCATATTATTTGAGTGTATGCATGTCTGTACATTTGGGTAGCTAACTAACCACTGCTCTGGGATGGTGGGAGTGTTAACACACTGTGTGTACGTGCACTCATACTCCTTTGTACACACTTGTATCAGATGGAGAACATCAGCTGATTAGAAATGAAGGAGAGACTAAACTGTTTAAAACAGAACTCCCCAAGGCTCTAAACAGATACAGATCAGTAGAAGGCAGGTGTAGTTGCATGATGCCATTTACACAGTACATACTTTTAGACAGCAGAATGGATATCCCTCAGGTTTAAATGAGGCAGTTTAGGGTTGGGATTTGTTGTTGATTATTGGTTTGGTTTGTTGGGTTTTTATTTATTTATTTATTTATTTATTTATTTGTTGGGGTGGTTTTTTTTTTTGGGGGGGGGTGTGTTAGTTTTGGATTTTGGGGGAGGATTTTTTTGGTTTTGTAGGATTTCAGCTACCGGTAAAACTGTTGGGAAATGAGGCTGAGATGAATATTCACTTTCAATATCATTAGGTTTTCCAAATTTGCCTTCCAGAAGACATACGTGGTCTGAATTCTCTTTGACAAGTGACTGACTTTAGTTGGCCATACCACTTTAAAAATGGGACAGGCTTTTGAGAGTGGGGACACTGCTGCACATTTTATGACTGAGGGAACTTTTTTTTAATGTGTTTAACTTTTTTGATACTTAAGAGGAACATGAGAGCGTGGCAAACTATCAAACAAGCTGCCAAAACAGGATTTCCAGGATCTACCTGTAGCCCCTCAGGTGAAGCTGAGGCCACTGCAGAATGAAACTTTTCAGAACTATTGGGTGTTTAGCCCCACAGCTTTACAGATTAGGCCTGTTTCCTGGAAGCTGTCTGTCCATGAATTCTTGGTCTTTTGTCCTGGAAATTCTGTTTGGAAAAAACAGCAGTTGGCTCTGCTTGGAATGATGTGATTCAGTGTTCTATATGTGCTACTAGCTTGCTTTCTGCATTGGTTCTTATTTTAAATGAAACTTACTGCAGGTGGTTTGCTCATTCCTTTCTCTTGCAGGGCCTTATGTGCAGATGCCAATGATCTTCAAAGAACTTCAAATGGAAGGGTTTCTTGTGACCAGCTGGAATAACCGCTGGGAGGAAGGTCTGAAGGCACTGCTAAAGTGGGTCATGGAGGTAAGGAAGGAAGGTGTAGGTTTTTGTTAGGTGTACTCACTCCATAGCTTCCCTCTTTGCAAGGGGTCTCTTGTCATAGCTGATGAGGTGAGGCTCCAGCGTGATACTTTTCTTCCACCTGACTTGATCTTTGAACCTTTTGGGGACAGTCAAACCATAGTGAACATACCTGATCCCTTCTGCTTTGTTGAGACCTGCAATATTAGCTTGTAGACTTAAATATATTCCAGAATACACGTAAGCTTTGAAAAAGGATGCTGACAGAGTAATTCAAAACACTTCTGTGGCAATGGAGAGTTTCCTTTTTAGAGTAATTCCTCTATCCCATTCCAAGAACAAATACAGACTGGGTAGAGAATGGATTGAGAGCACCCCTAGGGAGAAGGACTTGGGTTGTTGGTTCCTGAGAAGCTCAACGTGAGCCGGCAGTGTGCACTTGCAGCCCATTAAGCTGTGTTCTGGGCTGCATGAAAAGTAGCGTGACCAGCAGGTTGAGGGAGGTGATCCTGCCCCTCTGCTGTGGTGAGACCCCACCTGCAGTACTGCATTCAGCTCTGGGGCACTCAACACAAGAGAGACATGGACCTGCTGGAGTGTGAGTCCAGAGGAGGACATGAAGATGATCAGAGGGCCAGAGCACCTCTCCTATGGAGATAGGCTGAGAGAGTTGGGCTTGTCCACCCTGGGGAAGAAAAGGCTTTGGACAGACCCTAAGCCTTTCAGTACCTAAAGGGGGCCTAGAGAAAAGCTCGAGAGGGACATGGGGATGTAGTGATGAGACATTACAAGGGCATGTAATGATGAGACAAGGGGAATGGCTTTAAACTGAAAGAGGGTAGATTTAGATTAGATATTAGGAAGAAATTCTTTACTGTGAGGGTGGTGAGGCACTGGAGCATGTTGTCCAGAGAAACTGTGGATCCGTGGCAGTGTTCAGGGCCAGGTTGAATGGGGCTTTGAGCTACCTGGTTGAGTGGACGGTGTCCCTGCCCTGACATGGGCAGGGGGGTTGGACTAGATGATCTTTAAGGTTCCTTCCAACCCAAACCATTCTGTGATTGTATTTCTCATTCAGAAGTCCTCTTTCATTTGTAGTATGAGCAGGGATTTCCATTGTAGTGGTGCACTGAAATTACTGTCAAGAATGGATGTTTTTAATGTAATTGGGAGCTTGTCTTTAAAGGGACTTCATAGGGAATTTGCTAAATTTTACTTCTCTAAATGGAGGCTGAGTTTAATACTTGGTTCATGGCTGTGAAAAGCTTGTGAGTTTTAACACTAAAGCCTAAAAAGCTCTAACTGAGTATTTTGGATGGCTTGGCTTTTGATCACTTGGATTTGCAATTCCATGCTTCCCTAAGGGTAGAGACAGGCCTTGCTTTGGGGAAATAATCCCCTAGCTGTACATTGTTTGGGGACCAAGGAGCACTGTATCTGTCCTGGTGTGTTTTTTATAGTAGTGCCTTTTGCTCCCTGTTATAACTCCAAGTAGGAGGTCTTGCAAGAAAAGCAGGTCCTCACAATAGCCTAACAACAGCCTACCTGCTTTTGAGAAGTTACCCTGGTGCATGCCAGCTTGCATGTTTCAGATGAAACATACAAGCTGGAAGAAATTTGGTTGCACTTTAGTCTCCTGGAGATGGTAAAAACTAGGCAGCTGGTGAATGAAAACTCAGCAATTTGCTTTCTTACTTTTGACAGGGAAAGGTGAAGTGCCACGAACAAGTCACTGAAGGATTTGAGAACATGCCAGCAGCTTTCATTGGAATGTTAAAAGGAGAAAATCTTGGAAAAGCTGTTGTAAAAGTCTGAAGGTCACATTCCTGGGGACTGGCAGAGGAGAATGATTCTGTTAAGGGCTTTTAACTCATTGATCGAAATGTGTGTTTCAGTCTTTTTGCTGGACATTTGGCGATAACTTCTGTTAATTGGACTAATAAATGTAAGTATATGTCAGTTGATTTGCTCTTGAAGAACTTGAGAGCTGCTTCCCAAAGCTACACAAAAATATTGCCTTAAAACAGCTGAACTTCATCAGAGCTTTAACAGATTTACTAGAAACTTGAACCTTTTCTATGAGTCAGAATTGCTTTTCCTTTCTACAGGCCAAAAGCTTTGCGAGCTGATGGCATGTATCATGACTATGTTTAACCATTGATTTTGCCCAGAACTCAGCAAGAGGGATTTTTAAAAATCAATATCATGGAGCAGAGAACAGGTTAATAGCACCTGGGGGTTCCCATCTTCCTCTATGGATGGCTTTTCTTAACTTTCATAAGGAAATGTAGGTATCCTGGTTCTTTTGAGATATGGAAACTAAAAAAATAAATCTGTTAATGAATACTTTGCTCGTGTTACAGTTCTGTTTGTGGAATGCCCTCCTGTTCTCTTCCTTGCAGTTAACACAGAGTGGCTAAGATATTACAAGCACTTATTTATGCCAGTAGATCTCACAGAACAGGTGATCTTATTGATGGATTGGTCACTTATTGATGGATAACTGATGGATAGGTCACTTATTTTCTCGAGTAATTTGGCCATTGGTGACCAAGCTTAGAGTTGACCTTGCTGTGATGTTCAGCCTGGCAGTCATGGAAGATGAGATCAGTATGCTGGCCCTAGCTGTGCTAAATTGGTGTCCAGCACCCAGATGATGCTGAGTAAAGGAGACACAGGCATTAGCAACAATAAATATCTTAGATGTATTGAAAAAGTGGGAACAAGAACTTGTTACGGAATACAGACAAGTATTGAGTGTCATGGTGGCCCATCTTCAAACACTGTGGAGGACTCCTTGGTTAATTTTTAGGTCTCATCTGTGAAGAGGTGTCCTAAGTGGCCTTAATGTCTCTGTAGTGTCAGGATTAGATGCTCTTGTCTGTCCACAAGAAGAGGTCACTTACTTGCTGAAGATGTAGATCAACTAATACTTGCTAAGAGGACTGAAAAAAAATACTGTCCTTAAATACAGGTTGACTGGCCACTGGTGAAATAATGCATCTTGGCACAAGTAGAGGAGAGCTTCTGGTTGTTTATAGGGTTTTCTGAGCAGAATTACTTGCCAGTTTGCGTTAGCTCCAGTGCTGTGCTTTTCAGCCAGGCTCTGAGAAAGATCTGTGAATTAATACCGCTGCACATCATGGAAAATGGTAAACCAGAAAAGGGAGTTTATTGTCAGTAGGCTTTGGAACCACTGTGTCGAGGTCTGCTGTTGTTTGGTGGCTTTTTACTAAGACATTTTCAGAGGGCTTGCAAGTCCTAAAATACTGAGTCAGTTTTGGGCAGTACTGTGCAGTCCAGCCTGTTCTCCAGCCAGTTGCACGAGGCCTGTGAGAAAATGCTGGCTGCCATCACCCTTCCAATGGCATTATCACTCTGCATCTGACCTTAAGGGCTTTCTGGGAAGGGGTGAGCACTTGGTGGTTCCAGAGGCTGTCAGAAGGTGTGCAAGGGATTATCTGTGGCTAGGTTCCCTTTGGCACTGCAGCAGTCCTCCATTGCATGCATCTTCAAAGGTGTCGGCTTTGTCCAGAGTGCAATGCCCATTCCTCAGTGGTCCTGGGGCTGTGCTTGTAGTCATCTCTGGTTTTCTTGTGCTGCTTTTTTCTGGTCTGGCATGTCTGTGCCATTTCACAAGCAAGTAAGCTTGACAGTGGGATTTCTGAAGCCATTTAGGATCCCAGTTCATTGAGGATGTAATAGATGAAAGCAAAAGGAGTTTAAAACGGTCTTAAATGTAAACAGCTGCAGGCTTCATCCTCTGTGGGCTAAATAGCTCATTTGTATGTGTTATTTCTAGAGTAGTGGTTTAACCACTTGATGCCTTATGCCTGACTATGCAAAATGAAACAGGCTGTATATTAGAGGTGCTCCGGTCTAATAAATATTGCAACTTTTGTGTCCTGTTCCTAAGCAAATTGAAGCTGGCACTCGGGGCAATAACCTGCCTGAGCTTAGGACACAGCGGGGACCAGCCTTTAGAAGTTCACCATAGTCTGCCACACCAAGGGTGGTCTCAGGAAGCCCCAGGAGTTAATGCAAAGAACTGTGATTGCTGAAACCGAGGAGCTATTCCAGGAGTGCCCTGCTGCCTGCTGAGCTTCTCTCACCATCCTCCAGGGTGGGTGGCCACAGGAGGGGTCAGGACAACACAACCCAGCCGCAGCGCCCATTCTCATGGGAGCCCTGTTCCCAGATGAGTGAAATCCAGTCATAACCCCCCCAGCACCGCTGATGCAGCCTGTATGGAAGTGAGCAAGACATACCTTAGATCCTTTGCTCTTACTTTGCTCCCCCACTCTCTGACTGGCTGTTCATCTCTTATACCCCCACCCAGCTAGACTGCAACAGCTCCAAGCAAGTTCCTCAAAGCTTAGCTTGCTGCTGGCCTTTAATTACAGTGTGGGGATATACCTCATGTTCCTGTCCTCAGCCTCTTGTAACTAGCTGTACAGGGACTCCAATTCCTACTAAGCTTGAAAGTGTTTGGGGCTGTTCTGCTAAGTGGTGCTAAAACTGACTATTGCATTTCTATTGTCAGAAAGCTTCACAGTCCCAGTGTCTGTTTATGGTGCCAGGCCTTGCTCTTCTTCAGGCTTCCCTCTCAGAGGGGCTAGAAAGAGAGCAAAGAAAAGTGAGAAACAGACTTTAATTGCTGCCTTGAGGAAATGTCATGGACTGACTCCAGTGGAGGGCAAATGGCCCAAGCCTGTCCTAAAACTTCCTCTATGGATACAGTTGGATCCAATGCCTGGCTTCTCCCCACCCTAGCGTCTGTTCACACCTCTGCCACTCACCCCAGATGTTCCCATTCCTGGAGGCCAGGCAGATGGTGGCACCTGGAAACCTACCCCCCCGGCATTCTTCTCCAGCCCATTACCTAGAGACAGATGCCACCATCAGCTGGTGCTGTCAGAGAGGTAAAAGCGTCTCCAGAGCCAGGGTGTGTATAACGCATGTATGGGCAGTCACTGCCACCTTGTGGACATTAGCAGACTTGTGTCCCAGCTGCAGGTAGAGAGAAAGCTTCAGGCAGCTCCCATGCATCCTTCGCCTTCTCTGTCTACCAACCTGGACCAACCCAGCTTTCCCTCTCCAACGGAGTTAAAAATGCATTTCGTATGGGTGTGTTTCTCTGACATCTCCACAAGACCGTTTCAAGTTCCTCAAACTCATCTAGTTGATCCTCACCAAAGCTGGAGGCATCGGGCTGGTTGGTTATGCTTCTTGCCTGCATGAAACCTCCACTGAAAATAAGGATCCACAATATGGTTCAGCTTCTGCTCAGCTAAACTGAGTACAGCACCCACTGCCTCCCCAGAGCTCCTTATCAGACTCTTGTTCCTGCTATAGTTTTGTGTTTGGTTTTCTGAGGAAGACCTACAAGATAAAGGTTGCAGCAGTTGGGGTAGAGTTGGTATACAGTTACTGCTTCAGATGAAGAGCAGACTCCATGCTATGGACAGGCCCCTGCTAAGCCTGAGGCCCAATCAGTCCTGTTGTCAGCATAGCAGTGTCTTAGGTTTACATGGGAAGCTTTAGGGGTGAAGCAGGTGGGGAAGGGGGATGCCAGGGTAGTTACCATGAGAAGACACCAGAAGCTGCCACTACATGAGGGCCACTGACAGCCAGCTCCAAAAAGTACCTGCTGCTGGCCAGAGCTGAGACCTCTGTGAGAAGATACTTGATGAAGGGTAAAAAAGCACCATGCCCCAGCAGCAGGGGGAGACGAACAGGACTACATGAGCAAAAGCCACCATGCAGGCACCAAGGTCAGTGCTGGAGGCGACAAGGTGTTCCAGGCACCAGAGCAGAGATTTTCCCCTGCAGCATGTGGTGCAGACCATGGTAAGGCAGCTGTGCTCCTGCAGCCCACAGTGCAGATATTTACCTGCAGCACAGGGAGGACCCCATACTAGAGCAAGGGGGAACATGCAGCTCATGGACAACCCACAGAAAACCTGACTCCTGGCAGGGCTTCTGGCCCGTGGAGAGGAGCCTACACTGGAGCAGGTTGCTGGCAGCATCTGTGGCCCACAGAGCACCCATACTGAAACAATTCATTCTTAAAAGACTCTATCCTACAGACCCCACACTGGAACATGGGGGAAGAGCATAAGGAAGGAGCAGCAGAGGTGAAATGTTAAGAACTAACCAAAACCCCCATTCCCATGCACTGCTCAGGGGTGGGACAGTGGGAGACCCAGGAGTGAAACAGCCTGGGAAGAAGGGAGAAACAGGGGAAGGTGGTTGTAGATCTGTCCTTATTTCTTACTGCAACTAAACAGACTAGGATAGCAAGTTAATTTCCCTAAGACAAGCCTGTTTTGCCTGTGACTGTAATTGCCAAGTGATCTCCCTGTCATTACCTCAAGAGAAGGCTTGTCAGTTAAACAAGGTTAGCCCACCAGTCAGTCTCTCCCACTCCTCTCCAGGGGCCAGGGATCAGCACTAGAGTTCATCCAGCAAGGATTTCACCAGTATATTCCTCGAGCCAATGCTTTGAGTGGCTGAAAGCTGTACATCATAGAGCACAAGGGAGCTGCTGTTACCACAGTATGTGGGCAATAGTAAAACTGGCTGGTTTGTTGTTTTTTTTTTCCCTGCTAGATCCAGCTAGTTTTGACAAATGAAGAGTAAAAATTTAAACATTAAAATAATTAAATACTCTTACTGGAATCATTCAAGGGCAGAATCAAAGTCTAACTTCATTCAAGTTAAGGACAGAATGAAAAGCAGATGGTTAACTGGAGTTACACTACTGCTCCAAGAGATGTGGAAGAGATGTGCAGGTGGTTAACAGACTCCTTCCCCAAGTGCACGATGGCAGTTTCAGAACATGTGGATGAGTTGGTGCCACTGTTTCACTGCAATCCAATCACACATAGTTCTCTTGTCCACTGTCTGTGACCCCTTGCCCATACCTTTCATGAGTTCACTCATTAAGCCTAGTTATTTGAGCCATGTGTTCCAATTGCTGTACTCAAGGAAGTACTTCTCTTCCTGTTGGCCAGCCCACTGTAAGAAAGTGAGCGAGGCAACAGGCCTGCAGACAAAGCCATCTTGCTGTACTGGTTTGACAGCAAGGCACAGGTCCCAGCCATTTCATAGCCAAATGAGACTGCAGTCATTGCCTCAGGGGAGAACTTCTTTTCTGAAGCCTTTACTCCAAGGAGAAACCTTTATATGTTTTCTTCTCTGCCATGTAGCTCAAGTTTCTTCCAAGCATTCAAGTCAGTTTGCCATCTACCACTTCCCTCTCAAAAGCATCTTTTCAGGTCACTGGATCAAAGCAGTTGGTTCTGTTCATGAAAGCAGCAGACCACAGAGTTCAATGAAACCATGACTGCTGCGCTGTCTGGCACATGGTAATACTTGCCTTACCCTTGACATGAAAAACAAGCAGAACACCACACCTGCTGAGCTCTCCAGGATGTTACTTAATACCCATGTGGCAGGGCAGATGGCCCAAGTTCTTAGCAAGGCTACTTGTACCCATACCAGTTAGGGCAAAACTTCTATTTGCTGTATCTCGGCTTTAACAATGCCTGAAGTGCCAGGTTCTTGCCTGCTGGGATGCAGTGCTGCTCCCATCCTGAACAGGGCCTCTCTCCCCAGCTGGGCACTGTTGCCCTAGGGATGGAGCCCACTCACAGCTCAGCTAGGTGCAACCATTAGGCTTTTCATATCATCACCCATCATGTCAAGAACCAAGAGTCAAATTCCGATGTATCTATGCATTTGAAGAGAATATGCTTGCTGGCTCCTGCAAAGGGAAAGCTGTCCCACGACACAGATCCTCACTGCACATGCCTTCAAGAACACATCCTTTTACATAAAGCTATGCAAGTTATTTTCATCACACTATGCCTACATGCCAGTGCTCAGAGCAGGAATATACTGCAGCACAGGAACCTAAAGACCTGCTGCATTTCCAAGAACTGCTTTGCACCCCTGGTTTCAGCACAAGTTATTCCAGTATTTTCCATCCATCTTTCCCAATTCTGTCTTGAATTTCCAGTAACTTGTCACCTGGATCTTTCAAGGTGACTGCAGTGGCATCTAATTAAGAGATTAACAAACAACACATGAGCAGCATTTCCCATTAACTGCACTCTTCCCCTGAGGCAATAAGCAGCAGCAACCTCATGTGGCCTCACATCAGCAAACACCATGTGCTGCAGCACATCTCAGTGGCTTTCTCGTTTCTTAAGGAACAAGCTGGCTATCAGCAGCTCCTACCAAGCTTCACCTGGACTTCCTAACAGGGATTGTCCAAGCTTTCCTTGCTCCCAGCTACTGCTCAGGACTAAGTAGGCCACACAGGAAGTGCTTTCAAGAGCAATTTGCTTGTTTCCAGATGGTACCATGTTAATGATACATTCTTGCTCCAGCTTCATTTTATTCTCTCTCCACCATCCCATCCACAGCACCACTCGGGCCAGCGATTTCTCACTTACCTGTGCAGTCTTTCACCTGTCAGTCTACACACTTCTGCTGCACTTCTCTTAGTCAAATAGCTGGAGCTGCACAGAAAACATTTTGCACGTCCTTCTCATTGCATAATGACAACCTAGAGCTTACATCCAAGCAGATCTTTGATGGCTCATCCTCAGCTAAAGGGTGTGGTCACCACTTGGACTAGAAAGATCTTGTTTCAAATACGGAACATGTGCAGCAAGCTACTGAAGGGCCTCAGTCCTCAAGAGCTAGGAAATTCATGCATGCCTGTGAAATGAATGTAAGGCTGAGTCACACACAAACTCCCTACCAGAAAGAGGCTCACTCATGCCTACTTGCTGTATATATAGCAGAAGTCTTGCTTTTTCATCAGTGATACTCCATGAGCAGCACAGCTCACCTAGCTGTGTGGTTAGCAGCATTAGGCATAGCTGCTAGCTACAGCCCTGCCCCCTTATTGACTGAATTCTTATCCAGGACAACACCCAAGCCAGCAAGAAAACCATGCTGATCTGGTGGAAAAGCACAGCAGTTCTCCTTGGTAACACTGGGAAGAGTAGTCGAATATATAGGGAGGCTGGCAGGTCTGCAATAATTCATGTAGACAACCAGTTTACTGTCCAGCACAAAGAAGCATTCACTGTGTTTTAAGAATGCAATACTGCAGTCAAATGAAAGTGACAATATATAAATCCAACTTATCTTGGGGTTAAGACATTAGAAGTTTTACCTGTTCAGTCATTTGTTCCAGACTATTACATAGAAACAAAACAGTCCCACTCAGACTAAACACACTTTGGTACTCACACAACCAGAAGGTACAACAAGAAGGCAAAAGGGCAGGAGCTCCAAGTCCCACCTTACGCTTCCATGATAGGGCTGGCATTATGGCATGATAAGCCAAGTCTTAGCTCTGAGTCTAAAATGAAGCTTGACAAATTTTAAAAGAATCTTTAGCTACAAAGAGGCAATGAAAGAAGCTATCCCACCCAGTGACCACTCTCTTTTCTTCAAATCCTAAACTCCCCTTTCTTTGTCTTCAAGCTGGACTGTCACTCTTTGGATTACAGACTGGTAACTATCACCTGAGAAAGGTGGCAGCCCACTTCTCATAAAGCAACGTCACTGCTGTCTCACACAACACAATTTTCCACCCCCAGCAATAAAAATCAATCAGGTCGTGTTTGACAAGTGTTTGTACTCAAGACAGTACTCCTTTTACACAGCAAAACCCAAGACCTTGATGACATAATGAAACTGCTTACATTTTCTTTTAAGGACAGGCAGTATCCAAAAGTGAAGAATTTACACTTTATTGTACTTATTCACATAGATCAAGAGGACAGTTTTCACCACTTAATCTAGCTAGTTTGCTTTATTTTTTTTAAGTAGAAAAGTTACAGGCTATAATTTAGCCGAAGCAGTCATGCTTCAAAGTCTCCATGGCTGGAGATCAGACTAGGCTTTTAATGGTCTCTTCCAGCTTCTCTTTATTGGCCCCAGAGAACTCTTGCACCTGTAAAAAGAGATTGAATTTTAGAACTTTTGCATTCAATGCTTCATAATATTAGATGCATAGCATCCAGACACAAACACATCTACTGAACTCTGCTACAAGTGAAGTTTTTTCATTCCCAAAAGCCTTAACAAGAACCACTTCCAGACTGCTACTGCTGCAGCAGTAAATATGTTATCTACATGTAAAACCCTGTAGAAAAGTTGATCCTGAACCAATGCTATGTAAGACCCGAGTACAGGCTTGAAGAGACTGGAGGTCACTACACAGACATAGCTCAAAGTTACCTTGGACTGCTCAGGACTCTTACCAATCAAATTCTGGAAGTAGATTACTCCAAATGACCTGGCCCTGAGCCTGGTTTATCCTGTGAAATTTGTGATTGTTGCAACTTACACAGAAAGACAAAGGCAACATTTACATCTCAACAGTGCTGTCTTCCAGTTCCTACTGGGGTGCAAGGTTCAGAGCAGACTGCACTAAAGGTCACAAAACTGCTTGCTTGGTACTTACATATTCAGAGAACTGCCAAGGTCACCCAAAATAAAAAGCCATACAGCAGGGTTACATACACCACCTACATCTTGGCACAGCATAAACACAATTCTCCTAATTGCATTAAGAAGCTGTGGAAGTTTACCCTGAGAAAACTGTCAAATGTTCATTATTGGTCATGACTTGGCCCCATACTGAAATCAACTGAAGGTCCCTTTGCACCCGACACTCACTTTATAAGGTGCAATTCCATTGCCTTCAGCCATGAAACCTCAATCCAGGCAGTGCTTCACTTTAGCAAAGCCTACCTTCAGCTTGTTTGGCAAACAAAGTCTGAGACAATATACTTTGTCTGAACCAGAGAACTGCTGAGCTGAGAGGCATTCACAGCATAGGCAGCCTACTATGCTGTCAAAGCATGGTCTGAATCCCATGTCATCCACCTCTTGACAGAGCAGGTCCTCTGCCAGGGACAGGGCCTCCCTTTAACAGGTTACACTGCCACTACGTAAAAGCATCTGAACAGTTGTTTTAGCTGTGTCTATATTCAGCTATGTTTAAGGCTCCTGTTTGGGTGGGATTCCACCACATACAGTCACATTCTCTGCTCAACTATAAGCTACACCCAGAGAACAAATTTTTACCAAGATGGTAAAAAAGAGGGTGCCAGGCAGGCAGACTAGCAGTCTTAACCCAGACATCTAACCCCACTAATGTCTCACGGTGCTCTGTAAGACTGGCCTGTAATACTAACTTAGTTCACTACCCGTTAACAATAGGGTTTGCTTCATTAGTTAACTGCTGGTCCTGCTACATTTGCTGCAGCACCAAGAGGAACTTGCTCACTCTGAGAGGCCATGCCAGTGGTCCCCCAGAAGCATTATCAAGACAAAGCAGGCGAAGTGGTCCAATATTCCCAACCGTTTTTCAAACATTTAGATCACCTGCTCCAGCTGCTAAAAAGCAGAGCCTACCTTCTTCCCATTCTTGTAGAACTGGAATGTTGGCATGCACTTCACATCACAGTGTGCAGCAACGTCCTGGAAGAGACAGAATACAATCTTCAGCTGTACACACCTGAAGGATGATAAATTTAGACCCCACTAGCTGCCTTTTGTTTAGGTGACAGAGCAAAGCCATTACTGCTCAAAATGAAGCAAAAGCACTTCTGGTGGTCCATAACTGGCAAAGAGTGCAGTGTTAACATCTCCCTGAAGTAAGGCTGAAGGACCCCCCTTCAGCATTTAATTCATGCTACAGCAGAAACACATTTACTATACTTGCATCCTGTGTTTGGAAAAAAAGACCTCTTAATCAAAACAGATAGGACTATTTGTAAGGCTCAAGAGCATTACAGAAGCTCTTGTGTTTCAATCCAACATTCTTCAAGTACCAGTTTGACACTGCTGGAGCTGCTATACAGCAGTCATTTTTCTGCACTGAAGACATGAAAGAGGCAAGTGTCAAGAGCAGTGGAGAGACCAGACAGATCCTCAGACAATTGCGAGCCATTAGGATCAGGGGAGATTGCATCAAAGCATCTTAAGGCCTTAGACTAACACTCCCTCCCAAAGTAGGGGGTCACTGTTCCCAAGTTACCCAACAGAACTTTAACTGTGAAGATAACCAAGACAGTTTGTTCTGTTCAGGTGTCCTCTAACAAAAAAAAAGATTGCCATTTTCAGTGTAAGTGCTAAACCCCTAATCTCTGCTTCGCTAGGTTGAGGTAATCTCATTTTTTCATCTCAGTATTTGCAATGACATTTTTAAATAAGACATCTTCATTGTCACTTGTGTGGGACTCATTAGCTAATCCCCGCCCCCGCCTCCAGCATCACCCCAGACCATACCTGGGCATCATCCACATCAATTTCAATGAACACCACATCACCATACTTCTCACACAAACTCTAGAACAAAATAAGAAACTATGCAGTTACAATGTTCCAGGAAAGCTTTTTCTAAGAGACATCCATATTAATTGTAAGGCTGGTGCTAGCACCATTGCCACCTAAGCACAAGGGGAAGGATTGTGATAACTGTGTACAGAAGCATAAACACTGTTTCACTCTGTACCTCACCTCTTGAGGCAATGTAACTGTTAGGCCCCTATAGACCCAAGATATATGCAAGCATTATCACAGCAGAACTTATACCATGTCTCAGCTCCCAGCTGTATAAAAGGGTGGTATATTTAACTTGATAGTCTCAAAGGAGATAGTTCTGTAACTTATCCCTCTTCCAGAAAAGGCTGGAAATCACATGTAGCAAAAGGAAGTTTCTCCCACATTATTGTTAAGCAGCGTAAAAACATTCTGTATACTTTAATACAGTTGCCAATAAAAACAAAAAGGCCACTTACATGGAAAAAGGGCTTGATCATTTTGCATGGTCCACACCATGTGGCAGAGAAGTCAACGACTATCAGCCTCCCACCAGCAGACTGCAATTCTGCCTCAAATTCAGACTGTAAAAGAACAAAAGAATTGAAAACATTAATGATTTCCCCCTTCCTTTCTGAAATGACTTAGACTAATCCCAAAACTAGCTTGCTATCGGCCTTAACACACTAACCATTCTGGTAGCTCTTTAAACACATCATGTAAGTGCTTCAGTATGAATTGTTTTCACTGCTGCTAGATCAGCCAGTGTCTTATGACCCTTCAATTAGACAGAGACCATAATGCTCAGTCACCCCAACTCACTGAACTGTGGAAACAAAGGCTAGATACTCATCTAGACTACAATCCTCAACTCTGGAAGCTCTGTTTAGGGTTACCCTTGAATGTGATCCTTATGGTTTTTAATAAGTTTCTCATTTCTGTCTTGGCAGGAAGGCTTCCATCTTCTTCAGGGACAGACTTCCCACTGCAGAATTTTAAAAGAACAATCCTTTTTCCACACTCTTCCAGTTTGATGCCTTTTCCAATCAATGGTAACATCAAAATGATGTTGTGTGATTTACTCTACAGCTTGTTTTCTAAAGCTACCTCAGATTTTTTTTTTTTTTACTTATTTGTCCAAGTGAACTCACGTGTAACATCACTAGCCAAAGAAAAGATACATATACAGACCAAGAATTATTTAGAGCTTTGAGTCTGTTTGTTGCACGTAGTGACACCAACCATTTTTGGACAACATTCTTTGGTATTTAGAGGTTCTTCTGTGCCATTGGCCGTGTTTTCTGGTCAGAAAGTGAATGCTTTAGCAGAACTGAAAGCCATTAAAAGCAATAAATACTTGCATGCTAGCAGTAGGGAAACAAGTATCTCAGGCAGAAGCAGAAAATGCTAATCAGCTGCTTTCTGACAGTGTCTTTTCCAAAGCCAGTGCAAGTCACTTCAACAGTCCACAATTTTGTTCTCACAGCAATGCAAGCTTCAGGAGAGCTGTTAACATAAACTTCATTTCAGATCACGCATGTAAAAGATAGCTGCTTTAACCCTCCCCAACTTGACAAATCAGAGCATTAGAGCTCTGTCAGCAACAGCTACCCAACAGCAGTACAGTTGCTGCCACATGTACTCAGTGGTTGGTTCTGCAGTGCAGGAGTTAAATAATTAATGCCAGCTTCTGCAATCAGCCACAGTAAATTGATACTTTATTCTAGTAAGCTGTTCCCCACACCCTCCCCCCCCTTAAAGAATGACATGTAGGTGAGTAGCCAAGAATGTACATAGTCAAACTGGTCACAAGCATATTTAACAAGCAAGCAGAAGGTCCTGCACCAGCATTCTTATGTATGAATAACCTACATAACAGTCTTCATAACTTCCTGAAACTTCAAATACACCTGGCATTACATGCCTGTTAATAAGGCATTTTCCCTCCCAATGTAGCTATCTTCAGAAGTTCAGCCTCCACATTTGAGTTCTTCCATCCTTGTGTATTGGATATTCAGTCTACTCTGCTGTAACATCAGTAGCTAACGCTCCACCAACTCTGTCTGAAAGAGATGGGAACAGTAAACCTTCCTATCCCTCCACACTGCCCCACTCCTGTATTGACATGGTACGCATTCCTACACCCCAGCCCCAGAAGTGCCCCATTCCCACCAACAGTGCTCTCTCTACACAGCAATCCCTGCCAGCTCCCTGAGACTACTAATCAGAAGTTTCTCACTCAAGTCTCATTCCTCCCCACCTTCAAATCCTACAGCTTGATTTTGGTATAGCTTCTCATACCTCTGCACTGCAACATTACCAGCTCTTTACTGTTTCTACTTCCTGCACCTGCCACTTAGACCATCCTCTTCCTACCCTGAAGTCCTCCCATCTGGCTTCATAATTACTGTATTCTGCAAAAGGAAGTCCAGCCCTGGGATGTGTTTTGTCATATGGCCACACACCTCAGGTTTGCTGTTGCACCGAGCAAGGGGAAGGTAGGAGGTCATGATTGGTTGGTCACATGCCACACGCCACTGGAGACCTGATGCTGACTACAATTAGGTGTTAGTTACCTTGTCAGTCACCTTTAGTACTGGCTAAAACGGCTGTGGGAGAGTGAAGAGATGCAGGTCCAAAGGTGCTTACTCTTTGCAAATTATAAGTTATTTAACTAGTGAGAAGTCCTGAAAGTTTTCCCAGAGAACTTAATCTCCCTAAAGGAAAACAGTCATGGGGGCAAATCAAGCTACTTCACCCATGGGATTGGCCTCCATACCTGTCTTTTATAGTCATCTTTGTTAACTTAAGGGGAACCCCATAACAAGACCATCTCATCACACCACTAGATGATCTTACAGCTTCAATAACCAATACTTTCTTCAGATAACACCTTAATGGGGAAGCCTCCGAAGAATTTTCGTTTTGTCGTTTTTGGTCTGTTTTAAACATATAACTACAACCCCCTGAGCCCATGTAAGACCTCATATTGCTTGTATTGTCCTCCAGCAGAAAAGCATATGCTGCATTCAACAAATACGTTAGCATCAGGCCTCTATTTCCAAGGGCCAAGTAAGAGAAAAGGCTCTAGTAATGACAGTGTCCAGTGCAGCAGGGATTCCCAGCACCAGGTAATACCTCAAAATGAAGACTACTGACCACAGATGGTGCTGAAAGGAGTGTCTGGTTCTCAGCAGCAGACAAGATAGCTTTAATCAACCTGCTAGGTGGTGTGCACCTTAGTTGTAAGTGTGATTTCCTACACATAACAAGGCACCTTTGAACTTGGATTAACCCAGCCATCAGCTGACTGCCAATGGTTACTACATAACTTAGTGGTGTTTTGGGTTTGTTTTTTTTAAACACAGAAGCTGCCATAAACAGATCGAAGGTTCAACTGCCCAAACTCCTTAGAAGACAGCCTTTCTTCTGCACCTGAAGCTGCTAGTTTTCAGTATTTGCTTTAACTCAATTAATAAAGTCAGCCTGCATAAAGAAGAAAGCTCTGGCAACATCAGCTTTTTAACGGTTTAAATATCCCACTAGCTGCTGCTATAAAAGGCATTATGTCCCACAGTGAGACCCTGTTACATGAGTCACCCATCTCAAGATCACGTAACTGAACCAACTGGAGTACTGCTCCTTCTGTCCACCAGCAGGGACTTGAAAGGGACCAGTAAAGCACCCTTAAAGAAGCTATTCTTCAGAAGCTAGTTAGTTTCTGAAGAGATGATAGGAAAGGGGCCATATCTAGATAGCTGTCACATCCACATTACTTTACAAATGTCACTTACAATAGATACTTTCACAGGTAGTTGAAGAAGGATTTTTCTATTTTGCTACAAGAGAAGAATACAAACCTGCTTTCCTGAAAAACAGAAGTAATCCAGAAATCCCAGATGCACTCTCCTTAAATATTCTGGGTGTTGATAAACCTTGTTGTCAGCATGTCTGTTGAGTCCATGCTCTCCATGGATAAGGAACAAAACCGTGCTTTAAGCATGACAGACTATTACTCAATGCTCATGGCTGGGAGGGGAGCAGAAGCCTAGTCCACTTAATGTTAGAGTAGGCTCTTCTGCCAAAGCCAAGTTTAACGACTCTCCATTTTTAAGCTGTTCCAACCTGTAACAAAATCCTCAAACCTTACCCATAAACAGGGAAGGGGGAAAAATACAAGCCAGGAGAACTATTTCAGGTTGGACTCACACCTTATTCTATCTCCAGGTCCTGAGTAATGAGGTACCTTGTTTGCCTCAGCTTCAAGGAGGTTTCTGCCTGCACAGGTACTTAAGCTGTGGTCACAAGTATTAGCATGCTCATGGGTCAGATAGCTGTCCGGTCCCTGCACACTGGCAGTATGCAAGCAAGGACTTCTAAATTCGGGTACTACAGTATCCTGTTACCAGCTCGAGACATTTCCTTCAGATTTTAAAGGGAGATGAACAATAATCTCTCATAATACGAAATTACAGCAGTTCCCGCCTCATTCGGACCCTGTGAAGCCTCAAGTCTAAGCGAGTCCTCCTTGTCCTCCTTTCACTGTCTCCCTCCCCCACGCTGCAGCGCCGAAGGAGGCTCCTCCTGGACGGGCAGCCGCGGCACCCAGACTATGTCCGCAGCGCACACCCGGTCCCGCCCGACCGCCAGCCACCCAGCCTTCACAGGGCAAGGCCTCATCGAAGCCCACGGCAGCC